CTCAAGAAGGGGAGGAAAAGTGGAAAGCTTCGGACTCTCGACGTTACATCGTTTAAGATATGTTCAGTAGAAGAAGCTGCGGCGGCGCACGTGTTAATCGTGCTCGAAAGTTTTTGCGTTGATCCTCGAGTGATAGGGTGAAGTATTTATTACACGAGTGGCAATTTAATTGACACCAACGAAAAAAATATATAGCCTTACAACGACACTTGGCTTCGTATTAAGTTCTCTACGATCTTCGAATGAAAAGCTTATCGATGAATTGCATTTTGTTTCGAATGGAAAAAGTGATTCCAGATGCGAGGTCCGACTTTTCGAAAGCATTTTCAAGAGTAAAAAGCAACAGTCTCTAAATAAAAAAAAAAAAAAAAATTACCGATCAATTACACGAACGATGGAAAAATTGCAATTTGTTTCGAATCGGAAGTGATTTCGAACGTTAATTAAAGAAATAAAGAAGAAACGATCTTTCAAATTAAAAAATTAATCAATCGATCGCTAGCTATAGGAAATCGCTAGAATTTGCTTCAAATGGAAAGCGATGATTCCAAGCGCGAGCTCCGACTTACTCGACTTTGAGCGCTTAAGAACGTAAAAAAGAGAGAGGGTAATAATTTCGTTGAAGGGGATCCTTGGAAAATTGGAGGAGAAAGTGATTTCGAGTATACATATGTAGCAGGTGCTTAATCGACAGCAATGTTCGAGAAGAAAGCGGAGGCACTTAATTCCGCTCGGTGGCCCCGTAACGACGTAATATCGTTCAGTTACCCGGAGTATTTTTATTACGTTCCCGCGGCGGCATAGTATAGCAAGAGGGAGGAGAGGGTGGCCAAGGCACACAGACGACAGCGGTAGTCGAGGGGGCGGTTTGCCGAGCTTACGAAGCTATGCTCACGATATAACGAGAGCCATTATGATAAGCGGATGCATAGATTAGACATAACTCGTTAACCCGGCTGTGTGCGACGTCTACGATGAAAGGGCAAGAGGTATCGGTAATCAAGAATGCTTCTCGCTTCGACAGGAAATTAACCAAATTGTTATTGTGTTCCAAGGATTCCGAATATATATACATATATACATATTCTTATTTAATTATTTAAATCTCGATCAATTGAACTGTCTCGCGAGAAAAAATATTTAAACTGATTTCTACGTCATCGTTGAGAAATTCCTCCCTCTTCCAAGACGGAAATTTTATTCTTACTTCTCACAATTTTATCAATTCTTCTCCTCTTTCATTTTACGTGAAAGCAAATTCTCAGTTCTCACAACTGCTCGACGCGTCTGTCCGCGGTTCTCCTCGGCCATTCAAATTCGGGAAAAGTCTATTCTATAGACTTCGCGAGAACGAGCGTCTCGACAGTGGGATTTTTATCAGACAAATTTGGAGACACATTCAACGCAGCAAAGGCGGACGAAATGCGAGCAAGTGAACAAACAAGCTTGGTAAATTATCGGGGCGGGAGGGGGGGGGGGGAAGAGAGGACGAGGGAGAGACGAGGAGGTGGGTTAAGCGGGGTCGGTGAAAAGCCACGACGGAAGCTTGCAGGTAACTTAAACGCGCAAACTGAAGGGAAATACGACGGAAAAGTTTCTAGAACAAAATGATACGACACTGCGTAAGATCCCGCTTTGAAGTCAGGTCCGCGCCATTCTTTGTATAAATTGGAAGGAAAGCGCGGCGTAAAAAGCTCCGCTCTGCCCGGAGGTTAATACGTTTATGTAGGAAAAATTATTTTTAATTTTTTCTAGAACCGCCTCTGACACGGAGGAGAGAGAGGGGGAGAGAGAGAGAGAGAGAGAGAGAGGAGTGTACAAGCAAGGGTGTGGCAGAATGCGCGGCACCGCCGTGTAAGAATTTCTTAATTAGATTCGAGCAGCTGCCCTCCGCTGCCCTCTCTTTCTTTTCTCTTCCGGCCAAGAAATTTCACCGTGTATATATATATATATATATATATATATACACACACATACATATACATATATATTGTATATGTGTATATATACTTACTTACATATACGTATATAGCTCCGCGATAGTTCACACGACGGCGTTATTATACTTACTACTCGACGCGTGCTTCGCGTACAAATATTCGAGCATTATTAGACATTTTTCTCCTTTGAGATAATAGACTCTGTCAGATTTGTAATTGAGACTGTAATGAAACCACATACCTAAGAATATGATCTCTCTCGGATTTCGCGCTCTCGGAGCGCCTACCATGTACCAGCTGCGCTCCAATTAACGACAACGTGCAATTTGTACGGCTTTCGAGCGACTCAATTTCTATTCCGTCTGTTATAAAATGAATTTTAAATACCCAGTGAAAAATAGTAAGTAACACGCGTTAATTAATAAATAACTCGCGATCTAGATCCAAGTTCCCGTAGATTATTCTTCGCTCGTTCTTGCGATGTGTCGCGTGATCCACCAGGAGTCAGCAATCGCGCGTATCCCTTTTCTGAAATCGAGAAAAACCGAAAAGAGAGAGAGAGAGAGAAAGAGAGAAAGAAAAATGAGGAACGAAGGAGGGCACGATGAAATTCCAGCATTTAGAAACAACGTAACCGGTTAGCCAGCTGGCTGGTAGGGATAGGGAACACGTATGGTCCGGCTTGACGGCAGGGCAGGGATAGCACATAAATTTTGATAATACCGAAATTGTGACAGAACGAAGAAAAATCCCCACGAGGCCGCGGTGCAAAGTGCGAATAAATCGTTGCGTGTGCCTTTGTCAACGAA